TTTGTTTGTGATGGTCCAAAGCAGGTAGCTTTATTACTTTAGTCACCGCAGGAAATACGCCATTAAATACTAAGACACTTTATATTGCAGAATCCTCCTCCCTTACCATATCTCGCGGAGAAGGAATCCAGAAACTACGACATAGAGTTGGAGGTATTCTAGATTTTCTGCTAAATGTTGTTGGCTGCATGAGTATCTAATAGTGCTATATGATTCCTTTATGTGGATTTGATGATTTCCTTCTGCTTAAAGGTTTTGATTAAACCTGCTGGACAAGAACACTCCTATGCTGTCACGAAAAGCAACTTCAAGCACTTGTAATTAAGAATTCTGTCTCCACCACTGTCATTCTCGTGATCATAGAGTCCGAAGTAGTCATGTTATTGAGTTACTTTCTATCTTGGTGGTATAGATATTGGACAATTTCGCAACAACTTGCTCACCATACTGTTAACGGTTGCAACCTAAGGCCCGGTGATCTTCTTGGATCCGGAACTATGAGTGGACCTGTAAGATTTCATGGCCAACTATCTTTGAAGTATTCTTCCAATTTTCATATTCGTGTCTTCTTAAGTCGAGTCTCGGAAGATACTTCTTTTGTTGGTATTCTGAAGTAATGCTTCATATTCCGTCCAGGAACCAGGAACTTACGGAAGCCTTCTTGAATTAACGTGGAACGGAACAAAACCTCTATCTTTAGGTGGAGTAACTCGTACCTTCATTGAAGATGGAGACGAAGTCATATTCACAGGGTGTTGCAAGGTTTGATATACAGATTTTTTTTTGTTTGATACAATTAGGAAGAGCTTTTTTATGTCTATCACCTAATTGTTGGGATCGAAATTACCAGGTACCATGTAGAAGCTAACGATGCAAACATGGGACAGCGATAACTAAGACAATAAAGAAAAAACATACTAAAAAAGAGTCGATTGACCTACAGATGAGCGATTCATGAATATAACAAATTGCTTGTTTATACAAAATGAAAACGTTAAACGAGCTAACTCCTTTATCCTACGTTTAAAGTTTCATTTCTTATATAATTCTTGCCTTTGTTGTTCACATTGTTGCTGGTGCATTGAAAATGGATGAGGACTTGATTCGTTTTTGTTTGCAGGGAAATGGCTATACAGTTGGTTTCGGAAAATGCTCAGGTAAAATTCTTCCATCACCATACTGAGAACATGAATTTATTAGCTCAATCCAGTCCTCTTCAATCTCATCGAAATAAAATTAGGAGAATACAAGCAAACTCATGCATGAAATTGTTGTACTTGTAACATGTAACGCAAACTATATGTATGCAGTATCACCAATTCGTTCAATAAAACCATTCGATTGTGGAAATATGTCTTGGCTCCTGGCAGTATGTTCTTATTGTCTGTTATATTATTTTTTTCTCCTTCCAACATTTAGGTCAACAACAATTGGTTACAGGTTCACGTGAACTCAATAGCTTTTGTTCTAGTTAATATTAAGAAGTCTACTAAATATCTATGAATATTTGATATTGAAACTGATTTATTAGTGTGTAGTATTAACTTGACGTCACTGAAGAAATCATAAACTTCAAATTTTGAATCTGGCTCGATTTTTAAAAGATGAAACTACTCATTATCAAGGAAAGTGGTTCCATATAGAAAGCTACTGAGACTATTGCCATTTTCATTTAGCAAACTATTAGTAGGTTTATAAATTTACAGAAGCAAACTGCTCTTGCAGTGTTCATATATACGTAAAAATTACACACATCATGTACTCATTCCTTACTAATTTGATACATGTATTATGTATGCATAAGTATTTCTTCTAGAATTGGGCAAACAAAATGTTAAAAATAATGGACAGACTTGAGAATGAAAAATTTTATCGTAAAGAACAATCTAACAATAATTAGATCTCGTGTAACACAAATTTGAATTAATCAAATCAATAAGTTCTGAATACTGATTCGATATCAAGGTTAGACCAGGGGTTGATCTCAAAGGTCGGGGTCAAGTTACTAATCAGGCTTGGGTCGGTACAAAGGTCCAAGTCCTTGTCTATATTTTCTCCTCCGCCAGAAAATAAGTTAAAAAATCACTTATTTTTAGAAGAAAAAATCGGTAAAAGCATTTTCCTTCATAAAAAGCACAATTCTAAAGGGTTTGTTCACTCGTTTGGTAGCTGGTTTGTAGGTGAGTTATACCGTTATTAAATTCTGTATGAGTAATACTTTCTCTATTTCATTTTACGTTACACTTTTTGTTTTTCGAGAGACAAACAATTTAATTTTGACCGGACATTTACATATGGAATTTTTGAAATGAAACTTATACATTTGTAAATAACGTAAAGAATACTATATGTTTCAATAATTGATAATTCAAAATGTTAAAAAGATCTATGAATCAATTTAAGCTTCTTTCAATTTTGAAATACAAAAAGTGCCACATAACATGAAACATAAAAAGTATCATGTTTTAAAACTACTGTTTGATTTATAAATTACGATAAAATTGATATAAAAAAAACAACCGACAGCCACATGCCCCTACCAACGTATGGAAAAGCCAGAAAACAAGACCGTTAAAAGTAAAATTAAAAAGAGAAAAGAAAAAAGAGGGGTCCCCAAACGGCCCCTATGCGCAATACCCGCCAAAAAGTATGATATCAACACTAATAAATATAGTTCTTCAATATTCATCCCCTCTTCTTTCCACTTTTCGGAATTAGTAGTGAATTTTGAATTTTCTTTCAAATAAGTAAATATTGAACTATTGTACTAAAAGCTATGAAAACTTCTCGCAGAACTAGCTATTACTCTTCTGTCGATGTCGACGTCAGCGTTGGTGTTGGTGCTGGTGCTTCCACAGTTACTTATTTTGAGGCAAATGACCAATCTACCCCGAAGATCATCCAAATTCCAATTCAGTCCCCGCCGGAAAATAATGAACTTCGGAACCCGTCGGCTCCGATCGGAAAGGCTGCTGTTAAGATACAGTCAGCTTACAGATCTCACGTAGTTCGAAACCTTGTAAAGAAGATCTCAGCCGTCAATTCTGAAGCCAATTATTTACAGCGTCTTATCCAACGACAGGTATTGACTGATTGATTATTCAATTCTATCACTTTACTACTGCTCTCTCTAATTTTCGGATTTTTGAATTTGTAGATGCAGTAAAAATAAATGAGAACTATGAATAAATATGTGTTTCGAACAATTTCAGTTCATATACTCTGAAATAAAGAGACGGATCTAGAACTTTTAAGCTGGTAACTGTAGCTGCAAATTGATGAAATGTTGCTGTTATTTCTTTTCGATCCTGCTTTGTTTTCAATTTTTTTGAGACAAGGATGTCTCCTAATGGGTAGGGGTAAGGTCTGCTTATGTCCTCCACTTGTGAAATTACACCGAGTATGTTATTATGGTCAGATACCGCCAAAACCTCGCATCCTTCATGATTTGTGAACGAAATTTGATCATGGTTGTTTGCATTGTATCTTGCTAGTTTTTTGTTTTCGTTTCTTTTGAAACGAAGGTGTATTAGAAATAAGCTCTTTATCCCACAAAGGTAGGGTAAGGTCTACGTACATCCTACCCTCCTCAGATCCCACTAGTCACATTTGTAACATGTCACTTGTTGATAAACAGGACACAGTTGACGCTGTAAGGTCCAGTGAACGAGAGAAAATCAGGATGAACGAGGCACTGATGAATTTGCTACTGAGATTAGACTCAGTTCCAGGAATTGATCCATCAGTCAGGGAGCTGAGACGAGATCTGAGTCGCCGGATTGTAGGGCTGCAAGAGATACTAGATGCTGTTTCTGACACTAAAATACAAAACTGGGATGGATTTCTAATGGATTGGGATGATGTTGTAGAGAGGATGGAAATGGATGTATGCAAAGAGAGAGGTGGCGGCGATGAACTAGAGGCGTTTTGTGCTGAGCATTTGGGATTTCGATGCCTACAAAGGTTTCTCCGCGATCAATGATCTTAATATGTTAATACGTATATCTATATCAATATCTATACATGTATCTGAATTGTTGATCTGATTGTATATGACTTCTCTTGCCTTGTTGCCTTCTCTCTATGCTTATAACCTATGTTGCTCAAACTCTCCAAAATACTACCGCATCTGTCTTTGATTCTCCAAAAATGCACAATAACACACATCAATCGACATTTTCTGAAGAGTTTGAGCAACATTGCTAATAACCTACGGCAGCGTTTTCTTTCTATATGTTAAATGAAACTTTGATCTAAAATTCTTTCCTGCACTAGGAAACTTTTTAAAGTCTCCATGATGTAGACCACAAGATAGACATAACTTTTTATGGTTAATATGTCTTCAGAACATTTTTCTATTGTAAAATTTGCTGAAAATACTAACACTGATCTGATAAGAAAAAAGAAAGATGAATGTATGAAGAAAATGAACTTGTTAAGTTTCAAGACTAAGGTTGATGAACCCATCTAGTACCACCAAAGTTGTGGTGGATGGATTGGATCCTCGACCCTTGATCAGAGATCTCGAATTCGAGCCCTGTTAAGCAAAAAATCATGATAGTTAGTGTTTCCCCTTATATGAACTATACCCAATAAGAATCCGAATCACTCTGGGCTTCAATGCGGGTACCCTACACTGGATGGGAAATTTGAAAAAAAAAAGCATCGCCGTAGGAAGAAAGCAAAGAGTTTGGTCCTATCTTGTTTTTGTCGAGCCCGATTCTCTATGGCAGGAACATGTTTGATTGGATGGAGATAGATATATAGAAAGTGTGCAGTGAGGGTGCTTCTAACTCACTTAGTAGCCTAGCTCGGCCCAAGCAATGCCCAAAAGTTCGATGCCTTTCTATGTCTAGCAGCTAGTGAATCCTACCAAGTTATATTAAAAGTCTATATAAGCTACAAAAGGCAAAATATGAGAAAATTCAAGCTAAATCCTGAATTCACCTATGTAACAGTTATACATATGATAGTACTCAAACAAAAGCATATGCAGTTCATTTCAATGAAGTAAAAATAAGATCTTATTGTTGGAACACTTCTCTACATAGCAGTTGATGTTTCTTTCAAAGTGAATATAACATGATAAACTAGCCCCTCTAAACAACCATTTCTTTTCCCTTAGCTTGATTTCTCTACATGGCTTGATACAACTGAGAACTTACATATGCAAAAATTAGACATGTTTTACACAGAGCTGCAGCTACATTTGCATTGTGACAAACAATTCTTGCAATCCGAAAGCCTCGGGTAAGTACCTTTGCAATCACACTTCTTTATGCATTTTGAACGCGACGTTCCACACCACAAGCACTTGGCCATGCAGCGCATAATAGGCGCGCATTTTGGACAGTCGATTTTTATGTGATTTACTATGCAGTTTCTGCATCCATTACCATCTGTAGGACAACCAAAACTAGGCAAAATGATCATGTCACACACTATTATTAGAATTATCAAACACTCAAAGAGTAGCGTCTTTGTTAGCCTCTTTCCCTTTCCCATTCGTCTCTTGTATACAAATGTCTTTGCTTATAGACACCCTTTTTGTGATTTGTTATGTGAGGGTGACTAGAGGGAAGAGATGTATTTATAGAGGGTAGTCAATGTTGAGTATTTGTTTAACACTATTGGTATCATAGTAGACTTATCTCAACTTTTGTTATCCTATGTGTTAAATGTATAGTCTTTGACCTGGTGCACAATTCAAAGTTCATGATACATAACTCAGTTGACTCATCCGAAATAAGTATCTCGTAAATAAATGTGAGAATTCCAATGAATACGGGGGTAGGGGGTTGAAGAGTCCCACGTCAGATGTTTACGTCAAATCAAATATATATGACATGTGTTTATCAATTGTTAATTATTATAAGTTTGAATCTATTTGATATAAATATCAAATGCATTTAAATTTTTTCCCTACTTGTTAGACAAAATTTATATTTTGGCACAGATTTTAACTTACAATTTATCACTCTCTGGTCTTGGTCTTTATGAGCATTTAAGTTCAATTTAATGTATATTGCAGTTAAAAGTTGGCTGTGTCTTGGTTTGCTCAATAGTGCCTCATCTCCTTGTTGCTCTACTCTATACTTTTCCCTTCAATACTTTAACGGACTAAGGGTGTGTTTGGTACGAAGTAACATGTTTTCTTGGAAAACAAATAGATATTTGACTTATTTTCTTACGTTAGTTGATAAGTAGAAAATATTTTTCAAAAAATTATTCTGAAAAATATTTTTGAGAAATATCTTTTATTTTTTATTAGAGTAGAAAATAATTTTTGAAGTTGAATCTTTTTTTTAAAAAAAACAAACTTATAAATTTTTTCGTGGTGGGTGTGGGTGTGGGGGGGTCAGAGGGCAGGGGTAAAAAAATTAAAATTTAAAGTTGATTTTTTTAAAAAAAATATATATATATTTTTTTTGGTGGAGTGAAAAAAAATGAAATTCAAAGTTTAAAATATCTTTCAGAAACAAACTTACAATTTTTTTTATTTTTTTTTTGGATTGGGAAGTGGGGGAGAGGGGGGGGGGTTGTTGGGGAGGGTCGAAAGTTAGGATGAAAAAAAATGAATCTTTTAAGTTGAAAATATTTTTAAAAGATAAGTTTAAAATTATTTTTTTTGAAATGGGTTGGGGGGTCGAAATTAGGGGTAAAAACTGAAATTTTGAAGTTGAAAATATTTTTTAAAAAATAAATTTAAATTTTTATTAGGGGTAGGGGGCTAGTAGGGTGGGTGGGGGACTGGTAGGGGTGGGTGGGTTGGGGGCTAGTAGGATGTGGTGGGTTGGAGGCTAGTAGGATGTGGTGGTTAGGGGGTTAGTTAGAAGATAGTTTTGAAAAATGTTTTTCTTGTGTTTTGGGGGGAAATTATTTTCTTAAATTTGAGGAAAATGAGTTGATTTGAAAAAACATTTTCCAAAAAATTTGACCCAACCAAACATGAGAAAATAGAAAAATATTTTTCAAAAAATGTTTTCCTCCATACCAAACACACCCTAAATGTAATTTATGTGACACTTGTTGATTGAACATATGAAATTTGAAAAAGTAACTTTTAAAATTTCACCAATAAAAAGTCTTAAAACGTTTATATCAATTTATAAGACACCTTTTATGTTTTGAGAGTCAAATAGTTTAAGTTTGATCGGAAATTTGCACATAAATTTTTTTTCAATTTTTTTGAAATGATATTTATATATATGTAAACTACGTAAAAAGTATTGAGTCACAATAATTGATAACTCAAAATGTTTAAAAGATCTATAAAAAATATAAGATCAAAAATAAATTTGTTTGACTTTTAAAAATTTAAAAAATGACATATAAAATGAAACGGAGGGAGTATATTATTTCATTCATTCACTTATACTCTTTTTTTTCCATTTTAATGGTCACTTTAGTTTAACATAATTATCTCAAAACCCACTTCAAGACTAAAAGTTACAACTATTTCCAACTATAAAGAAAACTTGATTAATTATATCTTATATTTTTCTTTAAAGAGCATGAAAGAGCTAAATCGATAATTAAAATGAGACAATAAATGTAATTCTTATCATGATTTTTTTTCCATTTAAAATTGGAAAATAAAAAATACAAATTGAGAATTGAAATTAAAAAATCACCAAAAATTTCAAATAATCAACTAATAAGATTTTTTTATTTTTTTAAATGTTTGAGTTGGAGAAAGGTCAGACTTGTCATGATATGTATGTTTGGCCAAGTTTATTTTCTTATCTAGTAAAAAAGGGACAGATGGACAAATAACTTTTATTGCCATTCTGAGCAATTATATCTTTAGTGGTTTTGATCTGAGTAGTTGGTACCAAAAAATCAACCTCAAAATTTCTTATCCATTTTTTTTTTGTTTTCTCAATTGATTTTTAGGCAACAAATGTGTCAAAATAATGGAAACATCTCTTCTTCTTTTACTAAGGTAAGATAAAACAAAGGGCATCTCGGCGTACTAAACTCCCATTAGGTATGAAATCCAGAAAAGAACCGAACACAAGGATTCTGCATTTTTGCAAGATTCTATATTTTCACAGCTCAAACTCGGAATAATCTAGCACATGAAGTGTCAATCTTTTGTAGGCATATAACTCAGAAATGATGAACCATCATGTCAATTCAGTTATGGAAAAAGAAAAGGAAAGATGAAAGTTGGATTGGTTGAACCAGCAAAAGATAAAGAGAAAAGCAGCCAAAGATCCTAAAATTGGAAATCTTTGGTTGAAAGTAAAGTAAAAGAATGCAATAAACTTATGATAATTGTGAATGAAAGTTTTTCTATTTCCTTAGAAACAATCTCTTCTTGATTTCTAGACATTCAAAAGGAACCTAAAGCACATAAAAGAAAGAAGAAAAAAAAGAAATCTTGGTTAATCTAAATCATTCATAGACAAAGCTCAGCTTTATTTGAATGACACTCACCAAAAGAAAAACAAACTAATCATTTCCACCCTTCCCTTTTCCTATTTTGAAAAAAACTGACAAAAAATGAAGAACTAAAAAACACATGAAGGTCCCGGGGAAACGATTCGAGCAACAACAAATTTTGCTTCATATTGCCTGCCATTCTTTCTTAATATCAAATGTGTAGTTGATCTCCAAATAGCACTTGTTATCATCATCAAGGAACTACAAAGCAAGACAAAAGAAAATGACAATGATCAGTTGATACACATAATAGCGTGTAAGATGAAAGACGTGTCTAGAATGTCACAAACTTCAGCTTCAGGTGAATGCCTAAATAAAAATGATGCTTTCGAAACCATGACCATCCATGACTCTGCTTCATTTGGCATTTTCATAAACTGGTCCTACGATTACTTAAACTTTTATTTGAGCTAAGGTTCTATGGAAACAACCTCTCTACCTTCTCAAGGTAAGGAGTAAGGTCTACGTACACACTACCCTCCCAAACCCCACTTGTGGGGTTACATTGGGTATGGGGTTGTTGGTCCTACACTTACTTAAAGAGTAGTAGAAAACAACAGACGAAGAAGCTCAAATGGTCCCGTTACTATAAGGCAAAGATAAGGACCATGTGTAATGAACTGCAACATTACTGTCAATCTATCATACTGGAGAAAAGACTGTTCACAAAATTTAATACATGATAAGCGTGGGAGCTTAAAAAATTAATTTCTGGGGTATACAGGACGTACTCAGTTGGATGGTAGATGAGAATATGCTACAACAACATACGAAAAGAAGTCCCACAAAGTGAGGTATGAAGAGGGTACAGCGTACCTAACCTTACCCCTACCTCAGAGGTAGAGTGGTTGTTTCCGATAAACCCTCCGCTCAAAAAGTAATACGACAATCAAAGTGCATGAAACAACACACCACTATCAGAGAAGCATGAAATGAGAACCATAATCACCTTTGTCCTAGCCGAGTAAGATCCTCTTGCGAAAATGCCAGACGGGGTAGTCTCTTCTGGCATCTCATGTGTATATGGCTCAGTTTGAGGACTAAAGGCCCCGATCATTTCTTTCATGCTGTCCACTTAGATAGGTTTGCGAAAAAAAGTAAAATATAAATAAATTGTTAGGCCTCACATTGACATTTTACAGAGAGATGGAGATGAAAGGGGCATTCATAGTACCTTTGATACCAGTTTTCCAAACTGTGTTCGTGTATTTGAGACCTGTCACTATATTATTGTTGACCTGAAACGTGAATTTCAGGTGGTATTTACTCCCTTCTTTCAGGACAAACCATGGACTTTTGGGTTTTCCATCCTCTGGAATTGGGAGAACAATATCAGCTCTACCTGGGGACTTAATTTCAAGGCTCAAGATCTTCACTTCTGGATCGAGTGACTCTACAATTTTAAGCAGCAGAGGCAAGAGTCAGAATTTTCTATCAAATATATGGCTTCGTAGGATATATAGAAACGCTTCTTGCATGAAAGTTCACTAAAAATTTACCAGTCTCAAACCCTACATGGAGAGCATTGAATAAACTAATAACAGGAAATTCAAGAAGAGAAGTTTCTTGAATTGTGACATTTGCAAATGACAGCACCGCTCAGAAGAATAATTTTACATGAATTTCAAATTGAATTACCATGATTTACAGAGCAAAACTTAGAATTTTGTGTCATGACTTGTGGAACTAGTATTAACACTAAACGTAACCAAATTTCAATCTTGTTACCAAATCTATTAATTTTATCCAAAACAAATATGTTTCTTAAGATCCAACCAAATGTACAGTTTGATCCATCTAATTGAACATATCCCAATGAAACAAGAACCACTCTGTACAAATTGCACGTAGAAACAAGATCCATCCATGCTTTTCACAGTCTAGCATTGTTCCAATTCAACAATTAACAATTAGCAAATGATGCATAAGGAGATTTTAATGTGAAGCTTTTGATCACAAAATCTGAAAGATGTCAAATTTCACAAGATTTGAGTTCTCCTATATATTTTTGCTAATAACAGTCGCTCTAGTTAGCTTACACTGATCTCGAATATTCTACAGTGAATATGCATCCTCTCACCAGTTTGGTTATGGATATGATTTGTATCTTATTAGGATATTCCAAGTACACTCTGATGTAAGACATACATTTTAATGTTAACAATTTTATCATGCACTCCACGGACCAAAAGAAAGATCAATGCAGGTAGGAAAAGAGAAACACTGTTAAAAGTTACCTTCCTAAGATTTAATCAAGGAAATCAAAATTCAAACTACAAAATATGTTTTGAAAATAGGAAGATCTCATATAACCTGATATGCTCTTTCAACCTGTCATTCTGTAAGAGGAATAGTCATTGATACCATAAAGAAGGATTAAACAGGGATAATGAGCAAAAAAAACTACAAAAGCCATAAATTTCTACAACAACAACAAGATAGCCAGCGAAATCCCACGAGTGGGGTCTGGGGAAGGTGGTGTGTTCGCAGCCTTACCCTTACCTTATGATGAGGATAGAAAAGCCATAAATTTCTAAATGCACATAAATCCATGAAAGTTGATGAAGAAAATTCATAAACCAAAAAAGACAAGTTAATTACCTCCAACAGCATTAATATCCACACTTCCAAGAAGCTGCTCCTTCCATCTTCTCAAACTTTCATCATCCTAAATTCCCAAAAAATGAACATACAAGTCACATCTTACAAACAAAAAAAATATGAAAAGCATACAACTAAGCACCAAGAACCTGTTCCTTCCATCTTCTCAAACTTCAATCATCTTAAATTCCCAAAACTGAACAGACAAATCACACTTACCCAAAAAAAACATAAAATTAAGCATCAAGAACCTGTTCCTTCCATCTTCTCAAACTATAATCATCTTAAATTCCCAAAAATGAACATACAGATCACACTTACCCAAAAAAAAACATAAAATTAAGCATCAAGAACCTGTTCCTTCCACCTTCTCAAACTATAATCATCCTAAATACCCAAAAAATGAACCTACAAATCACATCTTACAAACAAATAACATATGAAAAGCATACAATTAAACACCAAAAACCTCTTCCTTCCATCTTCACAACCTCTCCTCGTCCTAAATTCCCCCAAAAAATGAAAATACAAATCATATCATACAAACAAAACCACATAAAAAACAGACAATTAACCATCAAGAGAACACAAAGATTCAATTTTTTTCAGAGACACCTTACCTTATCTTTCTCAAATTGTTCTTTGAGAGTACATTGAGGACCCAACTCAATCTTATTGGTATTTTCATCTTCATCTTCATCCTCAGTAGTATACATTGAACTTTCACTCATCTGTCTGCTAACTTTATTCCCATGAACCTCATGTTCAATCTCAGAATCAGAATCAGCAATTCCACCTTTCTTTCCCTCACAAACAGGGGCTGATTCCTCTTCACCCTGCTTGTTTTTGTCATCAAAACCCATACTTTCTAATCTAAAAGTTTTCACTCAGGAATTTTATCAAACAGGTTCTTGACATGAACCAAAAACAAGTTCTTGACAAGAAATTTCACACACAATTTAATTTCACTCAACAAGAAGATAATAACAGAATTAGAAAATTCCAAAAAAGAAATTGAAGAAACCTAAAAAGAATCAATCTTTATTAAAATACAAGAAGTGGGTCATCATAAAAAATACATACAGATGAAGGAAAAAGTGGTAAAAAGAAAAAAAAACGAATACCCAGAAAGGATAAAAGTTGTTAAAGAGAAAAATACAGCAAGAGAAAAATAATAGATGAAAGGGAAAAAACAGAGAGAATTGAGGGGTTATTTTGAGGAAGTTAATAAAAGGCGCCATAAAGGAAGTAGTCCTATGGTGATCCGAATATTTTGAGAAATAATAATAAAAATAATTAATTTGATCGACGATATAAACACACACTCAAATTTAGCATCAAGTATAACAGAATGTATTTAGATGTATTATTGATTGATAATTAAATATTTTAATCAGGGTCGACTCTATAACTTTATAAAAAAAGTAATCGCCTTAAGCCCCCAAATTTGAGAGGCCTTTTTTTTTAAAAAAAAATAATAGGTTATAAGTCTTTTTTTTAAAAAAGTATCAAGTATTATTTTTATTTGTAGAAAATAATTTTCTACATAAAAGAGTTAAGAAGTAATAGAAGTTTGACAAATTATGAACAATATGTCTCAAGGAAGAAAAAATTATTGACTATAATAAATTTTATAAAAATATATATTCAAATTTAAAGCTTCCATTTGAATTTGACTTTAGACCACTGATTTACTAGAACGACTCCTGAGTTTAATTTTTACTCATAATGTCTCGTGAATACTCGATAGACATTAATTTTATTATTTAATAACTCCTTAAAATTTATTAAAATTATCTTATTATATAATCATATTATATTATTGTAGCTTGATGTAAGTGGACACAACCGTTACTTTTAACTTTTTCTGGTCGTTGTTTATAGATTCACATGCAAAGCTAGATTGGATTTAGATTGGGAAACTTGTCTTTTTCTTTCTTTTACTTTTTTTTTTAAAAAAAATAAAGTTATTTATCAAATTAAAGGCATAATACATAAATATGACCTTTAACTTGACGTCAGCTTATAACTATGATCTTTAATTTTGGATGTGTATAAGTAGACACTTAAACTTGTATAAAATTAAATAAATGAACACATTGGTCCTACATGACACCCTATATGACAATTTGGTGTCCTACGTGGCGTCCTACGTATATTATGCCATGTAGGACATTTATTTCTACTTGTTCAATCTTATACAAATTTAAGTGTTTACTTATACAGATTCAAAGTTAGAGAACATAGTTATTTGTTGAAGTTAGATTAAAAATAATATTTATGTATTATGCTTAATTTTAATGCATGCCTATGATTATAGTAACATTGAGACATTTCAACTCATCAGTCATGTGTCAGTTGAAAATTTTAATTTATAAAATAATTATATCTAAATATTTTTTCAAAAAATTATACCCTAAATAGCAAATAATTGTTAGTAATGAGATTCAAAATTTGGATCATTAACTTCATACCCTAAATAGCAAATAATTGTTCTTACATTTGTACAATTTACAAATTTGATTTCTATTTCATTTTTACAACTTTTGTAGAAACAAAACAGTGTTCAAGATCTATAGTGTTATTAATTATGTTTTTCCCATTTGTCATTTACCATGAAACGTAATAATATATTATATCATTTAATGAGTAGATTTGACACTTCATGTGACCCTTCAATGAATTTTCACGTGAATTTCAATTTGGGATAATTTTGTCTATACCATTTGTAATCCACATTAATTTTGTATTCGACTTTATCCTACTCTAACATGCTCCCTTCGTATTATTTATTTTTTTTCTTTCTATATATGTTTCTTAAAAGATATTTTTTTAATCACAAGTTATGTATCGTGCTTTTTAAAATAGTTATTTTAAATGATTTATTATCTAAAAATTTAAAACAAAATTAATTATTTTCTTCACATTTCATCGTTGTAGACATTGCTTTGGAGACTATACAAACACCTCAATTGTATTATGAGATGGTGTTACGATTATTTAAATATCAATAAAGGGTAAATTAGTTAAAAGACACCTTTTAATTAATATTTTTTAAAACACATATAAAAAAGAATCACATAAATAATTTGAAATGGAGGAAATATTAACTAGGAGTTTTTTTTTATTTATTTATTGGAGGGGAGGGAGTCTATTTTACCCTTATTTATGTAAATATAATATTTTTCATTAAATATTTACTCTATTGTAGATTGTATTTTTAAGAGAAATTACTAGTAAAAGTTAATTGAGATAAAATAACTATTTTTGTTCTGATCATTTAAAATAAGAATAACAAATAACTTATTAAGACAACTTTTGAAACCACGATAGTAAAAGTTAATTGAGATAAAATAACTATTTTTGTTCTGATCATTTAAAATAAGAATAACAAATAACTTATTAAGACAACTTTTTGAAACCACGATAGATAATTTAGTGGGACAAAATGAAGTAAATAATTTCGTTTTGGAGGGGTCCTCATTTAACGTAAATAATTACTAAGTTTGGTGACACAATTAATTTCAGTCTTTTCAAATCAATTGTAATATAGCTTACAAAAGTTTATTTTCATTTATTAGGAGCTTATACAAGAGTTTTTTTATAATGAAAGAAAGTGGAGGTTTGTTTTCAATCAGTGAAATATTATTAACGTTAGTTTTGGAAATTCAAAATTGTTATAATCAATTCGATACAAAACAACTCAAAAGATTAAAAATATCATTAATTTTTTCATGCTTGTTTGAAAATTAATTGATAACCTCTTTTTTAAAAAAAACTTATGACTATAATAATTAAGGATGATAATAAATCTTTGTGTACTCTATAATAATAAGATGTATTTGAAAATAATTCATCGAGTTATCATAATTTCTATTGATGTATAAGTCTCCATTTAAATTTTAAAAAATCTTAATAAACATTGGATTTAATGAGTCATAGTGAACGAACTAACAATACTAGAACTTAATAGGAAAAATATACTCGGTTAAGCAAACGTATATTACTTATTCATCATAGTTATAGTTTGCTATAATTATCACTTGCGACTAATATTATAAATTAATTATGTGGGCTGACTTCGAGTTTGTATAATTAACCACACTTGTATATGTATAATTCATCAGAATATACAAATACGTATGTATAATGTACAATAATCTAACCAATAAAATATAATTCATCTCTCTCCCACTTTCTTGCTCGCCTCTCTCCTCCCTCTCTCAATCTCGCTCGCATCTCTCCTCTCTCACTCAATCTCGCTTGTCATATGTACAAATACATATGTATAGTATACAATTATCTAAATGATATACATATACAATTTACTTCTTAAACTCTTTGCTCTCTCTTGCTCGCCTCTTTGCTTTCTCTCTCCCAGTTCCGCTCACCTCTCTCCTCCTATAACATGTAACTATAAATTATAATTATCAAACTATAATTATAAAGAGTAATTTAATTATTTTTAATAGCTATATAGAAAAGTTTCTCTGATTAATATCACTTTTTTTAAAAAAAAAATAATTATCACGCTCAAAAAGAAACTTGGACTTATTCCAATCCATGAAGCTCACTAAATTCTTTTTTCTCTAGATAATATATTTAGCTATATAAAATATGTGTCATGACTTCAAACTAAATTAACTATACTAATAAAATTAAAATTTCCTTCTAACTTGTTGAGATTATCTCTATTATCCTCCTTTTGTTAGGTATTTTTGATTTATTTCGATTTTCTTACTTTATTTGAATTGACAAAGAGCTAATCATAATTATTTTTTTTAATTCTTTCCTCAAAAGAAAAATATAAATCTTTTATATTTGGCAACCAATTTCTTGGAGGATTTTTTTCTTTTTGACTTTTATAAATTAAAGATTTTTTCCTTTCGGACACAATAACATTCATAACATTATCATCAAAGAGTTTAAGTTTAAGAAAAAAAAAGATATTATCTAAATAATTTTTATGTTATTGATCGATTATATTAGTTTTATCGTATACAGGTCAATTGACTAAATCATGTTAAACATTATGTCTCTTTAATATATTTTTTGTTTCTTCGATGCCTTATTTGACTTTTAGCTCGAATCATCTATTCACACATATTTTTTTCTTAAAAATAAATAATTATACATATCTTAAAAGTATTCACACATATTTTTTTCTTAAAAATAAATAATTATACATATCTTAAAAGTATAACATAATAATATCACAATCAGTAGACTTTTTAGATTATGATAAAAAAAAAATTGCCTTTGTAAAGTCAATGGAAGAAATCAAATAAGAATAATGATAGTACAAAGTACAAACTTGTAAAATGAATAGTAGTACGATGGAATTTCCACACCCCTTAAACAATATTTCTATATAAACATGTGGAATGAAGGCCTAATTAAAACATTGTCATTTGTTCAAATATATAAAAGTTAAGCATTTGATAATAATAATCTTGAAGAGAAGGCAATATAATGACATTCAGGGTCTTCAATTTCATCATTGTTATTGTTGTGATCATGGTGGTTTCTGTGGCTGCCCATGAAGGTCACAACCATGGACCAATGGCGGCTCCGATGGACCCTGGGAGTGCCATCACCAGTGCTTTCCCATCCGCGATGGCCGGACTTGTTGCTTTGATTTTTTCGTTCATGGTTATAAGGGAAAGGATTTGAGAATATACCATGTGTGTCTCTCTTTGACTCATGAATAATTTGTTTCTATTGTGTTTGATGTACTCATTGTGTTATTTTCCAGCACCAATATGTATCTTCTCTCTTTTGATTTTTCCCTTTGTTGTCATGATATCCCTATTTTCCCATTGGGCCTTGTTAGAACTTAAAAGTCCTATGTTTGCCCTTATGAATCAACATGTACCATTTAATAAGTTGGCGTTAATTTCATGCTTGATTTGAACTTGAAAAGACCTACTTGTGCCCTTCCGAACCAACGCTCACCATTTAATTGGTTATAACGGACGTTCATGAAATATTTCGATCAAAAAACAGTCAATCACATATATAACAAAAAATTCATGGACTATCCTTATTTCCCGTTATGGGGGTCTACCTGTTTTATCGTTCATTTGAACTTGAAAATCATGTGCCGGTTTTTCCTTCTGGACCAACTGATTCCATTACTAAGGTCTTAACAGACGTCCATGAAAACTTTCGACCAAAAACACGCCAAAATTCTGAATCACCAAAACTCCATGGACTATACTATACAAAAATCGAAAAAATGGAGGTTTACCT